TCTGTTCTGCATATAGGTTGAAAAGGTATGGAGATAGGATGTATCCCTGGCGTACGCCCTTCCCAATTTTGAACCATGCAGTGTTCCCTTGCTCTGTTCTGACGACTGCCTCCTGGTCCAAGTATAGGTTTCGCATTAGAACGATCAATATACCCTGAGAAAATGAGAACTGAGACACAAGCTGAGATTTGTACACCAATATTCACAGCAGCATTATTCACCATCTCAAGAACATGGAAACAGTCCCAATGTCCAACCACAAACAAATGGATTGAGAAATTATGGTACATTCACACAATGGAATACTATGCAGCATGCAGGGGCAATAGCTTTGTAAATTATTACCTAACTTGGGAGGAACTTGACAGCATTATGCTGAGTGAACTAACTCAGACCCATAAGGATAAATATTGTATAAAACCATTTTTGCAGAATGAGTAAAAGGATCCAGGAGGGGTGGGAGAGGCTGGAAGCAGAGGGATGTGGATGTGCAGGGGAAAGAGGGGATTAATCATTGGATTGTACAATTTGATGGGTGAGGGAAATTGAAAGAATTTGTTCAACTTTGTATTTTAATTTTGTAAATAAACTAATAGAAAAATAAAAAGAAAAAATACAGCTAAGCAGGTCCAACAGTCTCTGGGCCCTGGCTGGGAAGTAGATGGCCTCTTCAGGCAGGGTCAGCTCATCTTGGCAGTGCCCTGCTACTGACTGGTCCCTGTGGTCCTATTCACAAGAGGCAGTGGGACCTGGTCAGACAGACAGGAGGATATGAGTGTCCTGAGGACAGGTCGGTGACTCAGTTTCTAACTTTGTTGGGAATGTGCAGTGGGGGGTGGTGTTTGGGAACAGTCAGGATGCAAGAGCCCCGAGCTTTCAGATGCACCCACAGAAAGCCCAGGAAACAGACTCTGGGGGGTGAGCTGATGGGAAGGCTGTGGGAAGAGGGGTCAGACTGGGGTGGAGTGCACTAATGTGAGGGGTGAAGAGATGAGAGGGGAGGTTCAAGCGATGATCTGCCTAAGTAAACAAAACGCTGTTAGAACCTGAGAGCTTTTCAAGGCTCAAATGTTTCAGTTGGTGGTGGTGAGTGCACCTTCAGTAAAGTCCCAGAGCTTCATGTGTCTACGCTGCACCTTGGTGCATCCAGGTTCCATGTCTAATGGACCCAGGGGGTCATCCATGCTGGTGATGGTTACTCTTGGGTTCTGTCTGGCATTGCTGCATTGTTCATTGCTGTCCTCTCAGAGATTGGCAAGAAGATTTGAAGAACAGATCACACTGTGGCCTGAAGAAGCCTGGGGGACGAGGGATGACATCCTTCCCTCTAGTACGTCAGGGTTAAAGGCAACGTCTTTATTTATTTATTTAAAAAATTTATTCTGCTCCAACAGGGTAAAAAGGGAAGTCATAGATTGGGGGAAAAATATTTGGTAATGACATGTCAGATAAGGGACTTATATCTAGAATTTATAAAATACTTGAGCACCACAACAAGTTAAAGGTAAATAACCCAGTTGAAAAATGGGCACAGGATATGAATAGACACTTCACCAAATCAGATATTCAGATAGCCAACAAGCACATGAAGAAAT